TGGATATAGATCCAAATGTAGTAATCTGTAATCCCACCTACTTGAGAGGCTGAGGCAAGATGGTCTTCCAAGTAGGGGTTTGACACCAACCTCAAAAGTAAAAAAAGAAAGAAAAGAAAAAATCTGTTTACTCATTATTATTTCCTTGGCATAAATTGCAAGATATCTGATTTTTGTTGTTGTTGTTTGGTAGTTAGGAAGGTTGAAATTCAGGGCCTTGCACTTTCCAGGCTTGCTTGCTTGGTTCCCAAAGCTAGCACTCTACCTCTTGAGCCATGTTTTCACTTTCAGTCTTGTTTTTGGTCTTGACTCTCTTTGCACTTATTGTCTTGATTTGAAATATAGAATGGGGGCTGGGAATGTGACTTAATGGTAGAGTGCTTGCCTAGAATGCATGAAGCCCTGGGTTTGATTCCTCAGTACCACAGAAACAGAAAAAGCTGGAAATGGTGCTGTGGCAAGTAGTAGAGTGCTAGATTTGAGTAAAAAGAAGCTGAGGGACAGAGTCTAGGCCCAGAGTTCAAGCCCCAGGACTGGCGAAAGGAAGGAAAGAAGACAGGAAGGCAGGAAGGCAGGAAGGCAGTTAGGAAGAAAAGAAGGAAGGAAGGAGGGAAGGAAGGAAGGAAGGAGGGAAGGAAGGAAGGAAGGAGGGAAGGAAGGAAGGAGGGAAGCAAGGAAGGAGGGAAAGACTCCTGATTGCTGTTATTTTTCTACCCTATCTGAATTTGTTCTTTTGTGTTTTTTTTTTGGGGGGGGGACTTTCAGCCATTCCCCCACCCTTTTTTAAATTGTTTGTGATACAGAGTTTTGCTGATAGATTATAACTGACTTGGCCTGGACTGGCCTGAAATAGGATTTATCTGCTTCAGCCTTTGAAATAGCTGGGATTATGGGTTTACACACTACCCCCAACTTCATTCTCTTTCAACAGACTTAGACTGCCCACCTGCCCTTTTACTGTCTGACTATAAGAATTAATCTTGGTATGAGGTAGGGGAGCTATATGAATTTACATTGTTTTCCCCACTAGGCTTCATTTATGAAACACCTTGAAATTTAAGAACTTCATGAGGCTTCCTGTCCTTTTTAATTTTTTAAAATATATTTGTTGGTCATGGGGCTTGAACTCAGGGTCTCAGTGCTGTCCCTGAGTTGTTTAAGGCTAGTGCTCTTTCACTTTGAGCCACAGTTCCACTTCCAGTTTTCTGATGATTAAGTCAAGCTCTTCAGCTTAAGGACAGCACCCAAGACAATAATTCAAGCCCCATGACTAAAAAAAAAAAAGTAGGTCCCTGTAGTCTTTGGCTGGTGGGTATTGATAATGGGAAATCCACATATAAATATCACAAACTCGGTCTGTGTGTCTGTGGATATAGACTCAATGATAGAATGCTTAAAAATACAGCACTCCCTTTGAAAATCTAATGAAAATTAAGGGCCACCTCCATAATCCTTCCTAGAAAACGTATGTACAGTACAAATTGTACAATTTTAGGAAAGGTTCAAAGGACTCAAGCCAAGAATGCCTCCTCCTGAATAGTAATATAACAATCTCAATAATCCCTAGTATATGAATGATTCCTAAAACCACATAATTCAATCTTTACTTTCCCCCAAATGTCAACTAATTGATAGAAAACATAAAATGGAATTCACCTTCTCTTTCAATCTGCTCCTTAATATTCACCTTAGCACCTTTCCAACCACCCAGGCTAAAGGTATTATTATCAATTTTTAACAAAAGATTAAATCTGAGCATATCATCACCTATAGATTCTACCTTAAGATGTCTTTTCTTTTTGTCGGTTGTGGGGCCTGAACTCTGGGCCGTGACGCTGTCCCTCAGCTCTTCAGCTCAAGACTAGCACTCTACCACTTGAGCCACAGCACCACTTCCAGCTTTTT